CACAACTGCAGCATAATGAGAACACATAACGATCGGTTTCTCGAAACTCGGTGCAAAATTGGCGCAAAAATGCCTGGGCTACACAAGTTTTCACATATAGTGGATTCAAATTCCTGTAAAAGGAAATGAAAAACTAGTACACAATTCTTTTTTTGAGAAACACCTGTAACTTTATTCATACTCATAACAATCATGTACACTAATTTGACTTAAGATTAAAAAAATACAAAGTAACTCCTAGACTAAGAATTAAAATGAGATCTCTTGAAAAAACTTTCTTCGCGGCATCAAATCTCTGCCAGAAGAAATACTACAAAGACTTTGGTAAAGAGGCTAAAATTGAACTGGAGCAATGATATTGTCACTCTTGCACCCGCACGAACACTATCAATAATGGTTTTTGAAAATGCCTTGAGTCGTCCATCCAAAAAGATGGGAAGTCTTGATTGATGAACGTACTTTGGGTCGGGGATGATCCTCTACAAGTGCAGGCCGTCGAATCCCTATATCTTAAAATTTTATTCTCTGAAGATCCGAGATGAAAAAAAAAGAGTTGGCATGGGTGGGCAGTCTGAGTTAAGTGTGCCAGTCCAACGAGGCTACGGCATTGAGGTATCAATGATAGCAGTATATTTCTTTCACAAACGCAGCATAATGAGGACACATAACGACCGGTTCCTCGAAACGGGGCTACACAAGTTTTCGCATATGGTGGATTCAAATTCCTGTAAAAAGGAAATGAAAAACTAGTACACAATTCTTTTTTTGAGAAACACATGTAACTTTATTCATACTCAGAACAATTACATGTACACTGATTTGACTTAAGATAAAAAAATACAAAGTAACTCGTTTGACTAAGAACTAAAATGAAATCTCTTGAAAACACTTTCTTCACGGTATCAAATCTCTGCCGGAAGAAATACTTCAAAAACTTTGGTAAAGAGGCTAAAATTGAACTGGAGCAACGATGTTGTCACTCTTGCACCCGCACGAACACAACCAATAATGTTTTTTTGAAAATGCCTTGAGTCACCCATCCAAAAAGATGAGAAGCCTTGATTGATGAACATAATTGGGTCGGGGATGATCCTCTACAAATGCAGACCGTCGAATCATTATATCTTAAAAATTTATTATCTAAAGCTCCGAGATGAAAAAAAGGAGTTGGCATGGATGGACAGCCTGAGTTAAGTGGGCCAGTCCAACGGGGCTACGGCGTATCACCAGTCGACAAACAAATTAAAATATTTCTGCACGAAAATAGTTTCACACAAAGAAGTAAACATTGAGGTATCAATGACAACAGTATATTTCTTTCACAACCGCAGCATAATGAGGACACATAACGATCGGTTCCTCGAAACTCAATGCAAAATTGGTGCAAAAATGCCCGGGCTACACAGTTTTCGCATATAGTGGATTCAAATTCCTGTAAAAAGGAAATTGAAAACTAGTAGACAATTCTTTTTTTGAGAAACACCTGTAACTTTATTCATACTCATAACAATTACATGTACACTGATTTGACTTAAGATCCAAAAAAATACAAAATAACTCCAATGACTTGGAATTACAATGGAATCTCTTGAAAACACCTTCTTCGCGGTATCAAATATCTACCCCGGAGAAATACTTCAAAGACTTTGGTAAAGAGGCTACAATTGAACTGGAGCAACAATGTTGTCACTCTTGCACCCGCACGAGCATTACCAATAATGGTTTTGAAAGTGCATTGAGTCCCCATCCAAACAGATGGGAAGCCTTTATCGATGAACATACTTGGATCGGGGATGATTCCCTACAAGTGCAGGTCGTCGAATCACTATATCTTAAAAGTTTATTCTCCAAAGATCCGAGGTGAAAAAAAGGAGTTGACATGGGTGGGCAGTCTGAGTTAAGTGGGCCAGTCCAACAGGGCTACGGCCTATCACCAGTTGACAAACAAATTAAAATATTTCTGCACGAAAATAGTTTCACACAAAGAAGTAAACATTGAGGTATCAATGACAACAGTATATTTCTTTCACAACCGCAGCATAATGAGGACACATAACGATTGGTTCCTCGAAATTCGATGCAAAATTGGTGCAAAAATGCCCGAGCTACATCGTTTTCGCATATAGTGGATTCAAATTCCCGTAAAAATAAAATTGAAAACTAGTAGACAATTTTGCTTTGAGAAACACCTGTAACTTTATTCATACTCATAACAATTACATGTACACTGATTTGACTTAAGATCCAAAAAATACAAAATAACTCCAATGACTTGGAATTACAATGAAATCTCTTGAAAACACCTTCTTCGCGGTATCAAATATCTACCCGGAGAAATACTTCAAAGACTTTGGTAAAGAGGCTACAATTGAACTGGAGCAACAATGTTGTCACTCTTGCACCCGCACGAACATTACCAATAATGGTATTGAAAGTGCATTGAGTCCCCATCCAAACAGATGGGAAGCCTTTATCGATGAAAATACTTGGGTCGGGGATGATTCCCTACAAGTGCAGGCCGTCGAATCATTATATCTTAAAAGTTTATTCTCCGAAGATCCGAGATGAAAAAAGGAGTTGGCATGGGTGGACAGCCTGAGTTAAGTGGGCCACTCCAATGGGGCTACGGCCTATCACCAGTCGACAAACAAATTAAAACATTTCTGCACGAAAATGGTTTCACACAAAGAAGTAAACATTGAGGTATCAATGGCAATAGTGTATTTCTTTCACAACCGCAGCATAATGAGGACACATAATGATCGGTTCCACGAAACTCGATGCAAAATTGGCGCAAAAATGCCCGGGCTACACAAGTTTTCACATATAGTGGATTCAAAATCCTGTAAAAAGGAAATGAAAAACTAGTAGACAATTCTTTTTTTGAGAAACACATGTAACTTTATTCATACTCATAACAATTACATGTACACTGATTTGACTTAAGATCCATAAAAGTACAAAATAACTCCAATGACTAAGAATTACAATGAAATCTCTTGAAAACACCTTCTTCGCGATATCAAATATCTACCGGAGAAATACTTCAAAGACTTTGGTAAAGAGGCTACAATTGAACTGGAGCAACAATGTTGTCACTCTCGCACCCGCACGAACATTACCAATAATGGTTTTGAAAGTGCATTGAGTCCCCATCCAAACATATGGGAAGCCTTTATCGATGAAAATACTTGGGTCGGGGATGATTCCCTACAAGTGCAGGCCGTCGAATCATTATATTTAAAAGTTTATTCTCCGAAGATCCGAGGTGAAAAAAAGGAGTTGACATGGGTGGGCAGTCTGAGTTAAGTGGGCCAGTCCAACAGGGTTACGACCTATCACCAGTCGACAAACAAACTAAAATATTTCTGCAGGAAAATGGTTTCACACAAAAAAGTAAACATTGAGGTATCAATGATAGCAGTATATTTCTTTCACAACCGCAACATAACGAGGACACATAACAACCGGTTCCTCGAAACTCGATGCAAAATTGGGGCAAAAATGCCCGGGCTACACAAGTTTTCACATATAGTGGATTCAAAATCCTGTAAAAAGGAAATGAAAAACTAGTAGACAATTCTTTTTTTGAGAAACACCTGTAACTTTATTCATGCCCATAACAATTACATGTACACTGATTTGACTTAAGATCCAAAAAAAATACAAAGTAACTCCAATGGCTAAGAATTACAATGAAATCTCTTAAAAACACCTTCTTCGCGGTATCAAATATCTATCTGAAGAAATACTTCAAAGACTTTGGTAAAGAGGCGACAATTGAACTGAAGCAACGATGTTGTCACTCTTGCACCCGCACAAACATTACCAATAATGATTTTTGAAAGTGCCTTTAGTCGCCCATCTGAAAAGATTGGACCATGGATGATTTCCTACAAGTGCAAGCCGTCGAATCACTATATCTTAAAAATTTATTCTCATAAACTATGACGATCATTGGACGTTGACGAGGAACATAGATGTCTTAAAAGATCCGAGATGAAAAAGGGAGTTGGCATGGGTGGGCAGTCTGAGTTAAGTGGGCCAGTCCCACGGGGCTATGGCCGGGGGCGTGAACCCCGCAGCACAAATGCCCGTCCAGGCCTTTCGGCCCGGAGACGCGCCCCTGCTTGTGCACAGGAACGCAATGGTATAGGTATGCTTGCGGTGTCCAATTCCTGCCTGTCTTATTCCCTCTTTCTTCGTATAAATAAGCCCACGAAACGGCACCCATGCCAAAAGCCCCCTTTAGCCCTCCGAGGCCGGAGTGACAAGCGTGCGCCACCACGCTCGGCGGGTGCGACGGCTGGGTGGTGCGTCTATATGCCGGTCTAGGCCGTACTCAGCTGCCAATGTGGTACTAATTAATTTATAGGATATACGTATATCCTACGCTTGCAGGCGAGGGAGCCGCTAAATGGGCCGCGTAAAGGAACGCAGGCCGCCTCGAACGCCTCAGCCGCGACCCAAAAAGCCCTGAAAAAAACCGTGATCCATAAGAAAAAAACGCTGTCGTCCATCCCGTAGTCTATCGCTCCGCATCCTCCAAAGCTCAACTGCCGCCGCCGAAGCCTACCTCCTCGCGCCGCGCCACCTTCCGCCGCGAATTCGTCATCACGCGCCGGCACCAGAGGTAGGTCCTCTCGATTTTATCCCAAGAGAGAGAGTGAGAGAGGGTTTGGGGACTTGGGGGACGATTTGATCGAGGATCCACCGCCGCCACGCGCCATCTGGCCGGATCTGCCAGCCGCCGCCGCCGCCGCTCTGCTGTGGGGATGGGCTCCGTGAGGTAGGAGCGGCGGGAAGATAGAGACGGGGTGCTCTCGGTGGGTGGGTTGCTGATTTGCGATTGGGGCCGCTACTGATTCTACCTGCTATTGAGTTAGGGTTTGGGTGCTGGTGCTGCTGAATTGCGAGAAAAATTAGAGAGGGGGAGAGCCAATGGGGATGTATGTGGTCCTCCTACTGACTGATTTCTTCCTTCGCTTGCGCAACCCTAGATGACCGCGGTGCGAGGGGCCGCAGTGGAGGGAGCGTGGTCTAATCCGGCGCTGATGGAGCCGCCGGCCGCCGCTGCCGATGGGCCTCAGGTGTCTGAGGTGGACTCGTTCCGGCGCCAGGTCGACGACCTCCTCTCCAAGACCGACGTGGTAACCCCCGCCCCTCCTAACCTCGGTATCAAACTCCGTCTCGCCTCGGCAGTGATCTGCAGGACTGACTCTGGTTGGTGCGGCATGTGTGTTGCAGCTCGAGAAGAGGGTGAACGAGGTGGTAGGGTTCTACAATTCCAAGAAGCACAGCAGTGGAGGGCGCAAGGCTGGCGGCAGGTACGCGGCAAACGGTGCCAGGGACAGCCACGGCAATGGGATGCCCGACCTCATGCGCCAGTTTGCCGGTATCATTCGCCAGGTGATGATCTTTCTTCTGCTATGCTTTATCCCATGATTTATTATGTCGGTTTATGTTGTTGCTTGTGTAGTCATGTTCGCTATATTCTTGCATCCTGGAGCATGTTCTACAAAGTCGGCTTGGTGCTAAGTTTGTAAATGGCATGTTAATTTAGAACAATTTACAGTGCTTTTTTCTATCTCACAGATCTTATTGATAAATATGGTGACCTAGATGCTTGTAGATATTGCCAGCACATATGCTTCTGTTCTTTCCAGCAAGAGAGATTTCTGCTGGAAAAACAAGTTTTCTGTCTCAAGTTTCGAACACTCCCAAATCTGTGTTTGCTTCCATGAACAGGGATAAACCATACAATCTAGTTCTTTTGGGCTGTTATTGGTACTCCATTCTCTATTTCTGGTCTTATAGCGTAGTGCATGAGATAAGACTAAAAATTTGGTCTTGCGCTTGTGCCAAATGAGATCATCTGAACGTAAACAATTCCTTGTGTGAATTTTAAAAGCAGCTTTTTATTGGTAGTGTATTTGAAATTGATTCAACCACTATATGTGGACAACCTTTTTAATCTAGTTTTCTACGGCCTAATACTCAATGCAAAGTTAATGGTTCTTGGGCACCTTCGAATTCGTATTGAGCTACTGCAGTTAAAATCACAAAATGTGATTTCTCTTTTCCCTATGAAAAGATTTCTGTTGATCTTTGCAAATTTTGGCACTTGATCTTCTTTGCTATATTCATTTTCTTCCAGATTACATCTCATGAATGGGCACAGCCGTTTTTGCAACCGGTAGACGTCGTAGGTCTTCAACTTGATGACTATCACCAGGTAATATTGCCAGTACATTTTGGTCTAAATGTAAATCAGTTTTGATTATATTTTTGTGTTACCTGATGTTGGCAAGCAATCAGGATCTGAAAAAAGAAAGCAGGTTTTATTGATATCACCATACTCCTGAGTCGCTGCAGGATTTGTGCTTTTCTGTCTCGAACATACTTTCAATTGACATGTTGTTGCATTTTATTAGAATATTTTCTATCTCCATGGAAAAACATAATCCTGTATATGCTTTGAAATCCAAATACTGTAAATCCTCCCTTATTTGTTTTATCGCTACGTTTTGCCTTCTTCCGTGTACATGAAATTGAAAACCATTGCTTGGAACTCCAAATACTGTAATCACCCCTAATCTATAGAAGGAAAATCTGACATATTAGGCTATCTGTTTCTTATATAACTATTAATTGGTTTGAGACTTGTTATTTACCTTCTTTAGTGTACTCCCTCCGTCCGGAAATACTTGTCATCAAAATGGATAAATGGAGATGTATCTAGACGTATTTTAGTTCTAGATACATCCTTTTTTTATCCATTTTGATGACAAGTATTCTCGGACGGAGGGAGTACTTCGACTTGATGGAGCCCCTGAGTTGTTAGCAAATATGTTTCTCTATATTTGGCATATCAATAAGATGGAGTTGCTTCGTTGTTTTCTTTACCTGGATCTTGGTTGTGGTGATTCATATATTTGGTTTCTACTTTTGCAGATTATAACAAAACCTATGGATTTCTCGACCATCCGAAACAAAATGGAAGGGAAGGAAAGTACCACATATAACAGTGTCCGAGAAATATATTCTGATGTTAGATTAGTTTTTACCAATGCAATGAAGTACAATGTTCAAGGTCACCCTGTTCACATAATGGCCAAGTTCCTACTTGAGAGATTTGAGGAGAAATGGCTTCACCTTCTCCCTAAAGTTGAGAACGAGGTGGATATTTGTAGTCACATACATTACCATTTTTGTTCTGATTTGGATATGTTTCTCTATATTTGGCATATCAATAAGATGGAGTTGCTTCGTTGGTTTCTTTACCTGGATCTTGGTTGTGGTGATTCATATATTTGGGTCCTATTCTTTCAGGAAAGGGAACGGGAGGAACCAAATGATGCTCCAACCATAAGCATTTCTCCGGAAGCTGCCATTGCAATATTAGCTGAAGATACTGGTAATGAGGTCGGCCCTCTCATGTACTGTTATCTCTTTATTGTGTATGTATTGATTGAAGCACTATATATACTGACTGGCTCCTGTTCAGTATAGATTGTTTAGAAAAAAAGGTCCCAGATTTTTTATCAATGTGTTTCTGTTATTGTTTAGCTTTTGTCTGTTGATGTACCAATAAGAAATCCTTTCTTGACTAAGAGGTGTGGCCAACCTGAACATGCATCTGCATCCTTGTCTAATATACGCCTTGCATATTCACAAGCCAATTGCATAGTGCTGAAACCCCTTGTATGTTACCTTGTTTGGTTAGATATTCAGTACCTTCTCTTTCTCGTCTTGCAGCTGAATGAGATTAATAAGCAGCTGGAGGAGCTCCAGAAAATGGTGGTTCAGAGATGCAGGTTTGTTTTAGTTGTTCATGTCATGCACATCGATTTGACTGTTTGCCAAGTTCTTTTTTGCGGTGTGCGCGCTGACCCTAAAAAGGTCGTACATTTGCTAAGCTCTTGATATTGCAGGAAAATGACCACGGACGAGAAGAGAAAACTCGGCGCAGGTCTTTGCCAATTGTCTCCAGAAGATCTTAACAAGGCGCTAGAGTTGGTCGCGCAAGACAATCCTAGCTTCCAAACTACAGCTGAAGAAGTGGACCTTGACATGGATGCTCAGGTAAAGTTTCTTTGTGCTAACCAACCCCCTAGCACTGCTCCTCCAAGCATCACACATTGGTTATCATGTTTAACCAACCATGCTTCATGTGTGTGTGCGGGTGCAGAGCGAGACGACCCTCTGGAGGCTGAAGTTCTTTGTGAGGGAAGCATTGGAACAACAGGCGAATGTAGGCGTAGTGGCCTGTGGCAAGATCGATGAAAACACGAAGAGGAGCCGCGACATGTACAATGCTCTAGCCAAGACCGTTTCGAAACGGATTAAGAGATAACCTTAGCGGCTCGGCCTTTCTGATGGTTCATGGTATTTCTGTAGAAAATAGGGCCATGTTCTCCCTTGTGTGAAGACATGTTGTATATATACGAAGATGAATCTGCACTAAGATATGCTTGGTCGCACCCGGTCTCATGTGGCATGGGTAGCATGCTATTGGTAGCTATGTAAAATAAAGAGCAATGTTGAACACCTCTGAGAAACAAGAATTATTCCTTGAAAAAGATACTCCCTCCGTTCGGAATTACTTGTCTTGGAAATGGATGTATCTAGAATTAAAATACGTCTAGATACATCCATTTTCGCGACAAGTAATTCCGAACTGAGGGAGTAACATCAAATGTGGCAAACTGTTGTTTTGCTACAGAAAATTAACGGTGTGTACTCTGCACTTGGCACTGCGAACGACATGGAAATTCACCAGGAATCCTGACTGAAGAATAAAACAGAGGTGATTGATTTCCCGGTCTCGAGTCTAGATGCCCACTAGTTCACTTGATAGGGGAAAAATATAACCCTCCAAAAGAAACCGAAACTCGAGAGCAGCATGGATCCATGCTTTCGGCATGCGTGCCTCAGAGACAGTATTACGCAGTGGATATCACCAGAGCCGCACACTGGTCGTGCGCGAGCACATTCATCCAGAATTCACCGATGCTTTTGCATCATCATCGGCACGCCGAAATCGATCAAACCACGAAGAAAGAACACATCAACTGAACCGAAAAGAAAAGATGCCTCGAATCGGAGATCTCACAGGCAAGTCAAGAACGAACACAGCGACTGAAACTCACGCAGCACGGACGATAATAAAGCTAATTAGCTAAAGACGGGGAATCGGCCAGCGAAATAAAATGAAATCACAAATTTCAAAGCGGAATAAGAACTCAGGGAGGCAAATCAAGCTGTATAACAATTACGCAGAAATCAACAAGCAGCAGGCTGCCAGACGGGGGATGGATTTTGAGGCCTTTTTTCCTGGGTGCGAAACAAAAGGTTGGAGTTGGAGATGAGGGGGCGAGCTGGTAGATGAGATGAGATGAGGAGGAAGCAGACGGACGCAGGCGGGGGTCACGTGGATGTGGGGTGGTCCATCCATGATCACACCTGGCTTCGCGGAGCGGCCACGGACGGATGGGTTCATGCTGCTTCCCTGTGGATGTATGTCATCCGGAGTGATGTGAGATGACGTGCAAAAGGCTAGCATCGTCTCGTCCTTCTCTGTATCTGCGGCAGCCAGAACAATTTTCTCTGCGAGAAACATGCAGATACGAAGAAGGGAGGCTCACAACAAGAACGGTGATTTTAATCTGACGTTGCTGGAGCATGGATCCATCCATGCAACTCTGCCCAACTTGTGTCCACATATGGGTTTTAATCCGACGTTGCTGCAGCATAGTTTTATAATGGACCTGTGGATAAAACAGGTAGGCTGCTGCCTGCTGGGTTCGCCGACTCATCAGGTTTGACCTGTAATTTTTTGATAGGTGCAAATAATGTTTTATGTTCTGCTGGCATAATAGAGGCGACAGGTGAAACAGTAGATTTGGTTTATAATCTACACAAGAGTCGAACATAGATGAAATGGTTACTGCGTCCATGGTTCAAACGGTCATCGGGTCGTTCAGCTGAATGCCTTAGGGCATGTTTGGTTGCCGTTGTGAACAGTTCTTGCATTGCATACACTTCTCAACCCAATTTGGTTGAGCAAAAACAGACCCTAATGCGCCATCAAACTGTTTGGTTGCCTGCATCTAGTGTCTCTGCATTAGGTAATACGCAAGTGCACTTTGTTTGGGTGCATACTGCGTACATGTTGTGCTTACCATGTACCCTAGTTGGTGAGCTTACCCACAATGATCACACCTAGCACACCAACGACACAACACGACAATGGCGATGAACTGGGCAAAGATGATGAAGTTTTCCGGCTTCAACCCAAACTGACGATCCACGTTAGCACCTTCCACTTTGACACCTCCAACCTTGCCACTGTCAACACTGGTGCCTCCGTGCTTTCGCACCCAGATGGAGTAAGCTTGTTCTGCTGCCTGCCTAGTCTTGAACCCTCTATAGTTGCTGTTGCTATACGATGCCACGTGTGCATTGGCTTTGGTTTCTTCCCATAAACTATAAACCCCTGGAGCCTCATCGATGAACACGACATACCACTTGCCCTAGCAATGCACAAGAGCAAGAGTTGAAGCAGCAAATCAATGGAGCACACAAGTAACAAGCAAAGTAGCACACAAACAACGATGGAGCAGAAGAGAAGCAAAGCATGCATGATCATACGGCATAGCAAGTTCAACCTAGCACTATCTTGGTGTTAACCTACCACCACGTCCAAAAGAGGGTGTCGTCCTACCACCACAAGTTCACCATCATCGTGAGGGGTTAGTATATACCACCTCACCAAAATATACAGACCATCAAATTGTTTTTCAGCCCTAGCTACACAAAATGTACGTCGTCATCATCATCGTCGTCGTAGCCACCGCCATCGCCGTCGGGGATCATGCACGCTCACAGGCAGCACTACTCTAGTAGTAGTGCTTGCCCAGCCAGCTCCTGAGCCACAGCATCCTGTGAGCGTCTGCCATGGCAACGAACCCAACACCCTGGGCCTTGTTGTCAAGCAGGTGGCTGAGAGCTGCCATGAGAGCCTCGTCGCTGAAGCCACCCTGGATCATGACAGCACCATACAGGTCAGGGTGGACGTCGAGGGGCTTGCACTCCCTGATGGCTGTTGCAACCTCCTTCACCGCCTCAGTCAATGCTGCAAAAGACATTGATCTCCTCCTCCATCAGACCTCCTCTCTTCCTCTTCCTATCATGGACGGGGTCAAATGGCTTGTCGAAGGGCTTCGCAGCTGACTTTTTCTCTATCTAGAAGTGGAATAGAATAACCCGGTTTTGTTGCCTTCTCGTTCACATCCTCGTTCAATTGATTGAAAGAAATGTTCTACATATATCAACAGATAGGGGAGGATCGGGTCAAAAATGAGTCAAAACTTGTAAAACCCTAGCAGCAAGTCAACTAGATCCAGTGAGGAATGAGAACCTTTCCGGGGGTCCCGTGACTACCTTTGAAGTCTTTGGGTAGGACATCAGGCGCGATTGGCTCACTTGCTTGAAGGACTAATGAAAACACGGTCTCGTCTGATCTTTTATTGGTTTTGTTTTTTCTCTCATGCCCTTCTGGTTTTCTAATTCATAATATTCCAAAATATTACGGTACAGATAGATACACATTAATAGATAATAGAAAAAGTTCGGTCTTTCCTTTGGCTCCGCTCGGTGGGGGGAACCCCTACTCTATGGGATCTTACGGAGCCTGTTCATGGATGACATGGTTGGGAATGGACCCATCTCATGATACAAGTTACCCTGGATTTCTTTCTATTCCTATTTCGCTGGGCAATTCTAGTTTTTGTTATGGGAACAAGAGAATAGCATGCACGGGAGAAGGATTTAGGGAAAGGCACCCACCTTTTAACGGGAGAAAGGCTGCTTGGGGGCATCCTGGTGTAGTTGAGGGCGCAGAACTTTTGTGCAGGAATTGGAACTGCTTGAACTAGAAAGGGACACCATTGATTAGAAGATTTAGCTTGTATGAATCGCTATTGGTTTGATACGAATAATGACAATCGTTTTCTATTTTGATTTTTTCTTTAGTTACCCTTTTTCCTTCTCCGACCATGAATAAAAAAGCCCCTTGTTTAACGAGTTCGCTGCTTTTCCCAGGCCGGAGAAGGCCTCCTTTTCTTTTTGGATTGACTTAACTTAATTATTCTACTTATTTTTTTATTCTTCTATTTTGAATCCGAAGAAGAAGAATAGGCCAATCCACATGTGGTGTGTGAACAGGGAAAGTTGGCTAGATTGTCAGTAATATCAATTGAGGAAGAAGCCATTTTTAGAGTTCCGTATTTTAGGAATGGTATGAATAATATACAGGGCCCATGAAAGGAAGATCAATGACTCATACAAATTACTTAATGGAAAATGTCCCGGAGGGAAACGGATACTCAATTTTAAGCGAGTAAACAGAATTCCATACTCGATCTCATAGATCCCCTCTCTTTCAAGGAGGCAGCGGGGATTCGACTTCCCCTGGGAGTTGGCATGTCTGAATAAGAAAGAGTCGGGCGATGGCGAAGCTGTGTTTGCTCTCCCAAATCAAGATCAAAGTCTCCAGGGAACCTGGCTCGGGAACAGCCCTGGAAAAACACAGTGAAACGACTTATTAGCAGATTAATAGATCATTTTGGAATGGGATATACATCCTAAATATTTCAGAACTTGCATGCGGCCTTCAAGCCACAACCCGCCGTCTGAGAAACTCAATTGGCAAAAGTCAACGGGGCATGGTTCCGAAGCGTCAGGACTATAGCCAGCCCGTGCTGCTTCAGTTCAACTTCGACACAAAGTAGGGCACCTATATCCAACTTTAGGTATTCCATTGTTTCTAGTATAATAAGCAGGTTTAAGCCAGGGCCATCAAGGACCTCGACGTCCGGGGTCCCAGGGAAGTCTGGCATGGGAGAACCAAGAGGCTCCCCCAAGCCCATGGCATGCTTCCCAGTTGCCAGCCCGAAGAAGAAGATGTGCTGCATCTGGCTGTAGTTCTGTATGGGTATGTTGAGGAACTCAGCATCCCTTTGGTGGTCCTAAGAATGAAACACAAGTGTTGTTAGTTGCAATTAGGAGTAGGCAATGGTGGAAAGTATGAAAAGGAAGAGGGTTGTGACCTAACCGCGACATGGTCGGCGTAGTGCTTTGCCTCCAGAACTATGGAGCAAGTGTTCTCATCCGCTAAGGTCTCTCAGCTTGGACACTTGGATCCATCGACCTCCCCACTTCTTCAGGTGGTTGTACACCTGGGTGGCAGACACCTCCTGCCCACAGAACTCGAACACCTGCTTCGCAACGGTGTTCGAGTGCACCTCCTTTGAAGCCCTTGTCAGTCCTAACTCCACTAGAGATGAGCTCACA